CTCTAGTTATTAAACTCATTGTTGAAAACTAATTTACTTTTAAACATGAAAGAAAACCGGAAGGGTAGTCACGGAGAATCCAAAAACGTACCTTACCGACATCTAGTTTGATGTCGGGATTTTTTTTAATACTTCCTCATTTTATATTACAACAAAACATTAGATTAATCATTAAGTCATTGTCTATGGTCATTATAAGTATGAATCGACAGCCAAATAGAGCTCCCTAGGGACAACGCGAAGCACTGACGGAAAGCTTGTTCCTTATATTATGTTGAGAAAGAATAACCACCAACCTAGAACTATTTGTTTTATAAATAAACTAAATCTAGATACTGCACATATAAATAAAGAAAGGAAAATAAAAACTTAATTAAAACCAAAGATTTCTTAATTGTACAACTTTATTTAATATTTATTACTACACTCAAATATAAAATATAATAAGACCTTAAAATAAGTTTTAGAAATATCAATAATAATCATGAACAGGAATTAAATTCCCTGTACCTTACATCCATATTAATCTGAATCAGAACTTGTATGCTTTGATTAAAATGAAAGGGAAAGATAGGTTAATAATTTGTCCAGCGAATAATACAATACATGTACTTCCAACAAGAATAATTGTGGAATTCAGTATTACTATATCTAATCATTTACTGCACATATATTTGAAAGTGAAAATAACTTTAAATACTTTTTTTTTATTCGTAAGTATACAAAACGTAAGTATGTTTCCATAAATCTAGAGCCTGAATGTAATCTTCATTAACAACCGTATTATTTTGTGAAATACTAAAATCGCGTAAGACGGCTGTGTCTACCCGGTCTTAGCCGGTAAAAGGATTAGGTACATATTTGACTGGTCTAAGTATGTATAAATATGGCTGTGCCTTATCTTGCCTTTTTTATTTTAATCCAAAATTATGTATCAAATACAATAAAATGCAACATCTTGATAAGACTTTCGATTGGATTTAAATATGAGTAAGTTACTCTCATGAAGAGTAGAAGGAACACCTACCTACATAGTTCGATTTTACGAAATACGATCTGTGATAGTATGTATTGTAGCGAATTGAAGTAATATTGTATGAAAAATGCACCTAAGCTGTACTATTCTATCTTCGGCATGAATGTTACTAAAAGGGACCGCTTGGCCTGTGGTGTCAACATGGAAGAATATGGAGATGTATCCAATGATGATATATTATACAAGGTATATTTTGCGTTGCAAATGAATCTCGATTATCTTAATTATTTTTTATCCGTCATTAAATTTAAGTAAAAATCTTATTTTCAACTTTCTTAACAACTTAATAGCTCACTAGTAAGTATCACTGCAATAGTGTCTATCAATAATATTGAAAGTTTCTATTAGACAAGTTGTGCGGTGCTAAAAAAACTACTTTTCAAGGTATTAGACGTTCTAAGGTTCCAACAGTTCGTTAGTCGAATACGAGCGAGCTAAAAAAAACAATCGATACGCTGCGAAAGTTGTAATTGACAAAATAGTAGAATAACCATAGTTACGAGGCGAACCTCGCATGGCAGCCTCACAATGAGTATACACCGCCTCTATACCTTTATTTACATAAATAACTGATAAGTTTTGTTCTTGTAGTCAACAGTAGATCAGGTTATACGCATCTATCAAATTTCTCCATTTTATTTTAAACCGTCATATTTAAGGGTAATTTGATATCAACTGGCGATATTTGACATATGGTGGTAGCCTGACGTGCTTTTCAAGTTTTATGTAAGTTTGTTTAATACGCTTCTGAAAAAGAAAATCATTGTGAAATACCTTCTAGTTAACATACCATTACTAGAAAAACTGCCTCTCTGCACCTAGGCTCACACGGTGTGCTAATTTTAATTCTGACTGAACAGTTTGTCAATTAGTATTCATAGAAGTTTTGAACCTTTAAAAATATAGTATCGGTAGTTGAAATTAAATCACTCAAATCATTGGTAGGAGCGATACTATATGAAGCGAGAAAAATATCAATGTTGTACACACGACTGCACGTCAGGTTACCACAATAATCTCAAATTTCCGCAATTGATTTTGAACTCTACCCTCATCGTAGGTATTAAGATTTAAAATCTAGTGAAGAAATTTGATAGATTTGTAGTCTGAAGTGCTGGTGACTATACAAAAATAACAATGATACGTGTAATTAAAGTACCTAGTATGGGAATAGTAAGGCCATCGCATAAAGTGAATTACGTACATTAATTTTTGTGCCTACTATAACAAAGTTGGCTAGATACACCTGTGTGAGCGCAATAGCAATATGTTTGGCGCGATTGAGATATATAGTGCCGGGTCTTTGTACGAAATTCACTCTGTTCGGTGACCTATAGTAATAATGCCCAATGCTAATGTTTTAAACACTGAAACTATAAGGTTCAATTAATATGATTTTATAGTTGTCAATGTTCAACGAATAATAACTTTTAAAGCTTATACTATTTTTATCTGATATTCTTATCAATCTTTCATTATTAATACATTTTTAAAACTGGTACACAAGGAAGTACTGAAATTTTTAGATTCTTTTCAAAATATTATATAGAAAGTTTCGAGTTTACATACGTTACATTGACTCTACTATAAAATTTATCAGGAATGTTTGAAAAACAAGTTTAGTTAACTTAATTTCAAATAGTCCATTAATATTCGGATCTAAAAAGTCTCATTCTTGCTTTGAGTAACAAGAAATATGCGGCGTGTATATTATAAATATTTATTATCTTTTGCTGTCATCATCATCAGTCCAAACACGTTTCATAGAACACTAACGAATATGTACGATTATAAATATATATATCTGATACTTTCTATCGTTATATAACTGTAAAAAAATACCCGGCGCCGACAAACTAAAATTTTGTAACAAAATTAAATTATAGAATTAGGTAAAAACTACGAGCACTTCTTATCATTTTAATGGCTACTTTGCATCAACCACGAATTTGTCAACTATCATTAGACAATATATATAAATCCAATCAAATTTGAATTACTAATTCCTTTCCACGTGGATTTATCCAGAATATAATAAAATTTTTAGATGGATAACACTTCTTCCTTTATTAATGGCTTATCTGCACGTTTCGCACAATTCTGCCAATGTCAAGTGAATAAATTAATTTCTACATGTAAAATGAAAAGAATGAGAGAAAGCGATGATAATATCTTTTATCTTTAAGTGTCTTGACTCGATAGACAACACAATAAACGCCAGAATGTTTGGCTTGGCGCTTGTCGCAACGTCAATGTCTACGACTAGGGATTGAAATTTCAAATCAAAATCGATTTCGACTACTTAATTAATGGCTAATCGATATTTCTTAAAAAATATAATCGAATTTTGTAATATTCAATTTTATTACCAAATTGGCCACATGAAAATAAAAAAGAAAAATTTTATTTAAAATATAATCTACATGTTAAATAAATACATTTATGTTCTCGCGTCGATCAACGACATCCCTATACGTAGACTGTGTCCTCACACCCGCACTAACAAATAGCATTTGAGTATTCTGAATTTCAGTAAATTATAAAATAAGGTCAAAAAATATTTTGAATCAAACACATATTCCCTATTGAACATATAAATTTTCAAATTTTATTCAATAACCTGATTAATGTTGGATATTTGTAAATTGAGCATAAAATATGAAATATGATAATGTGATTATCATCAGTTTCTACTCAATTCATACTTTTTTATGTAAGACGAACTGCGGAAGGTGATGATAAGATTCTTTTCATTTATCATTGGCGTATAATTCCCAGTCCCGCAAAAATAATAAAAAAAAAACGAATTTTTCTATGTTAAACATTATATCATTGTTTTCTATGACCACGATTTTTCTCCATTTTTGGCCAAAGTATTCACAATTTATATAATGTTATTGTCAAAGAAAATATCATACAAAATGTCAAGTTCGTAGTTAGTTACGCAATGGTGTTCTAATTCGTTTACTTTGTCACCAAGTAATAACATTGTTCAGTGCTCAAGTTGGATCTTTATAATAAGGTAGGTTTCAAACAAAAGTTTAATTGGTAATATACACAAAATTGATTCATATTAAACTCGTCATTGATAAAATAAACGATCAAAAATGTCTACTATACGTCTATAAATTAATCAAGTAGTAACCATTTCTCCCTTTCAAAATATAAAATTAAAATGCATATTTAAAAAGAAGGAGAAACTTTCTACCATTAACAAATTAAACAGACACACTGAAATGTACATTTTATAAATGTTATGCTGTGCAATATTCTTTTTAACCATCCTAACTAGCTCATATGAATTAAACAAAAACAGGAATTATATTACCTATTTTTGTACCGTACGAACTATTTATATGATTAAACTAATATCTTTTCTAGTAAATCTCAATATTTACATTTAACCCAACTATCTCATTTTGTTATCTATATATTTTAGAGTTAAACTTTATAGTCTTTATTATAATAGTGATAGTTTCGATAGGCATATTTGTTCTATCCAAAAAATTTACATCATTCCCGCAATATTGCTTACTATTGGAAGCCAAATGCAATTAATATAAGGTAATCCTGACCTTTTTATTATACAAACTATTGTAAAAAGTATGTATATAAAATTGCAATACAACAGAGCTATCATCTATATTTTCCATACTAAATTCCATTCTAACTTGTTTGTTATAGTAAGTCAATGATCAATTATAAAAATTGACAATGTACAGCTTACAGGATTTATAACCTAATCTAACCTAAATCAAAGGAAGATTATAAATTAACCGAAACTATTGTAAATTGGCCATGTTTACAATATTCTGTGGACAACTAAACCTGCTGCTTTCAACATATAACAATACGCACAAGGCAATGATATATTAAATTACCAACTCAAAAGGCAATATTATATCTAACCTTTATGGTTTCAGTCAACAATATATATTCATCACAATTCTTCATCCCATGGTCTTCATTCTTGTGCTTTGCTAGCTTCTGTTATAGATTCGTACTGTTCTTTATCTAATTCTGTCATAGTTAAGCTGCCGTCTGGTAGCAATAAAACAACACGCCGTGTGCCACCTGTAACAAATATGAGACAAATTAAGTGAATAGATTTAGAATGAATGGAAGAAAAAATTGCTTTATTATTACGTTGAAACTGAATTGCATAAATACATTTCTTCTTAACAAAGTCCGCATTGACTTCCAGCTGCTCGGGCCTGCTTGCATCAGCTGTGCGATCACCTGCGAGGCATCCTCTCCTTTCTCCAGCTGTAAGGGCACGATGCCGCGAGTACAGTACAGTACAGTGTGACGTGTGACTCACCTGGCGACGGCAGGTCTGCTTGCAGCAGCTGTGCGATCACCTGCGTGGCATCCTCTCCTTTCTCCAGCTGTAAGGGCACGATGCCGCGAGTACAGTACAGTACAGTGTGACGTGTGACTCACCTGGCGACGGCAGGTCTGCTTGCAGCAGCTGTGCGATCACCTGCGTGGCATCCTCTCCTTTCTCCAGCTGTAAGGGCACGATGCCGCGAGTACAGTACAGTACAGTGTGACGTGTGACTCACCTGGCGACGGTAGGTCTGCTTGCAGCAGCTGTGCGATCACCTGCGAGGCATCCTCTCCTTTCTCCAGCTGTAAGGGCACGATGCCGCGAGTACAGTACAGTACAGTGTGACGTGTGACTCACCTGGCGACGGCAGGTCTGCTTGCAGCAGCTGTGCGATCACCTGCGTGGCATCCTCTCCTTTCTCCAGCTGTAAGGGCACGATGCCGCGAGTACAGTACAGTACAGTGTGACGTGTGACTCACCTGGCGACGGTAGGTCTGCTTGCAGCAGCTGTGCGATCACCTGCGAGGCATCCTCTCCTTTCTCCAGCTGTAAGGGCACGATGCCGCGAGTACAGTACAGTACAGTGTGACGTGTGACTCACCTGGCGACGGCAGGTCTGCTTGCAGCAGCTGTGCGATCACCTGCGAGGCATCCTCTCCTTTCTCCAGCTGTAAGGGCACGATGCCGCGAGTACAGTACAGTACAGTGTGACGTGTGACTCACCTGGCGACGGCAGGTCTGCTTGCAGCAGCTGTGCGATCACCTGCGAGGCATCCTCTCCTTTCTCCAGCTGTAAGGGCACGATGCCGCGAGTACAGTACAGTACAGTGTGACGTGTGACTCACCTGGCGACGGCAGGTCTGCTTGCAGCAGCTGTGCGATCACCTGCGTGGCATCCTCTCCAGGCTCCCCCTCCACTTGCACGGCCACTTGTTGTAACGCGGGCGCCGCTTCGCCGCCTGGCATCAGTTGCGCCAGTTGCGATGGATCGATCGCCAGTACGTCCTTTCAAAGATAAACATATAATAATAAATGTCTTGGACAACAAGTCAAAAATACTAGTAAATATTGGAAACAATTTTTGTGTTTTTTAAACATGGACAGCTCAGGCTATAAGAGTGTAATTTCCGGAATATGTTCTTACTTCTGAAACACTGTGAATCTCCATTTGCATAGAGGCGACCTACGATTTCGACGATGATCGAAGATTAAAATTTTTGGTGTTAATATCATAAGATGTAAATAAAATGAATGAAGTGTCCTTGTCAATCGCACTCAACGGTGTGCAGTTACTAGAATTTTCAGATAGACCGGCATTTGCTGCGCTACTATTAGCCTTCTGCGGTTTAACTGCAGTCAGTCAAGATATCAATCTACCGGTTTTGACAAAAGTTTCAGTGACGTCTAATTACCTATAACAAAGGTTGATGTTTCTTACAAAATTTAGATGCTCTATTAAATATATATAAGTAATCGTTATTGGCATAATAAATAAATATATCGAACTTGTTTCATGACGTTAAAATAAACCTCAATTATAGGGTTGTTAACGAAATTCCTGGCCGTCTGCAATGAACCAAATAAATTGTACGTTACTTACTGTACACTAGTATCGTTATTAACTATCACTGTACCTGTCCGTCCTCCCTGGTGACGTACATGACGCCGTCGCCTTCTCCCTCAACGGCACCCTCCACACCTTCTACGGCACCCTCGACTCCTTCCGCCGCCACTAATAACGTCTGACCATCTTCATTCTCTCCCGCCACCTAATCAAATATTCAAAATCTAATGAGCACTTGAAAGTTAAATCATCAGGCATTCTGTATAACCATGGCGTTCATCCTAGGGCTGCTACGACGAGGGATTGTTTTATTATGTGAGACATCGTCGTGGAAATCTAGGACTATATAATAATACTATATAATCACAATACCAAACATTCTCTTCCATGCTGACAAGAAACTTAACATGGATAATTCATATATAAGAGTTGATAAGACATTATTGACTAGCTGTACTATGACATAGCTAAGCGAGAGATTAGGGGCACCCAGGGTAGACACTAAAAGATGAAAATATATACAGTAGAATCCCGTTTATCAGAACTTATCTGAACACCGATTTTCTGGACTCATCTGTCCTAGATCTAATTGTCAACTTAAAAACATGTTATGATTTTTGTTAAGCTCATGGTTCAATTCTCTTCCCAGAGTGCCAGGGAAAAGCGAAATTTTTAAATCATTTTTCATTAAGAATAATGATAGGTTGTGTTTTATCTTGACATGAAATATCTTTATATAATTTACTATTTGAATAGAAACAAGATAAAATGAAGAAGAGACTGTAACTGGGGATGTATAGCAATTACCATCTCATGCAGAAGCTTTTGAAGCTCTTTAGCTTTTAATATTTGAAAGACAGGACTAAGCAGATCCCATACAATTATTACAACTGAAGAAGCGCATCTTGACCACAATTAAAAGAAATTATTTTTTCCATCAAAGATCAACAATAAGTTAATTTAAAATTACACCTCTTTATTTAATCAAATTATTTAGATCAATGCGATTCGTGTTACACTTTTGCTAGCTACAACTGATCGTAAATATACCTTACAAAATACTAATCTTAATTTGTGAATCACTTTAGCTATCATTACATTTTTTATTGTAAATATTACCTGATACAGTACTCCATCCTCGCCGCGGATCATAATTGGTGGGTGACCAGCGTGCAATAGCCCTACTTCCTGACCCTCATCTACACCAACACCTTCTTCAAGGAGTTGCTTTACTGCGCTTGTTTCCACTTTCACCTCCGCCTAAATATTACATTATTTTATTTAAAAAAAAAATCACATGAAACAATTTTAATTTGCAACACTGTTTACTTAGACTGAAACAAGTTACTTTAATATAAAATAAATCTAACTGAAATAAACATTATCTCAGTCACTGTCACATTTTTGTCACAATAAATGTGATGTGTGATATAATTATATTCTTTATTTTTTCATCATATTAAAGCTTTCTTCAAATACATAAAAATAATTTAACAGTTTAATTTTTTGTTAAAATAATTTAACAAAAAATATTTAGGTCCAACTAAATTATCACTGTCTGTATTTGGAACTTTCTCTTATAACTAACTAATGTGAATTTAGTTGCAGCCACTTACGCCATCATCATCTGTCAAGACCGGCAACGATGGCTGAGCTCCGTCACCCTGCACCAGCATTCCTGTCGTTCCACCAGGAGACATTTCTACCTATAAAACAATTAAATAAGTCTATATAAAACTTAGCCGACATTAAGTTGTTAATTGGACGAAAAATGTGTGTTAAAGTAAAAAAAAAATCTTTATTCAAATAGACTTCTCAAAAATACTTTTAAATCGTCCAACTGACATCTTTTGACTGATAAAAACGAGCAATAAACTCACTAGCTCTAATGCAAGTAACGATATTCACAAAACCATGTCATTACCAGATTAATAAATTATAAATAGAGAAAAAAAAACTACAATCTTATAATGATAACATAATAATTAAATAATCGCAACAAGACAATTTTTGATATAATGAGTTAAGAAGAAATGAACTATCCAGTTGTTGGATCATCTTAAGTCCAAGTATTCTTTTTTGTTATATAATCAAATACCATTTTCAAAAAATATATTTTTTAAATAGTAGATTTAAACTGCATGATATCTAATAAATGTTGTATTTTGCTTGGGACCTTATTGTAGAAGTGCACATAAAGACCCCTGAATGAATTATTAACTTTTTGCAGTTTAGTGACAAGTAGCTTTAGTTTATTTTTATTGCTAGTATTAAAATTGTGTAATTCACTTTTCATAGCAAACAAACCCCTTGTAAAACCAAATCATCGTTGATTCATAAGGTTATTCTTGTGAAAGTATGTCTGCATTTTTTTCAAAAATCTTATAAAACTTAGCATGGATATAGGTCTAAAGTTAGGAGGGTCAGATATGCTACCTGATTTATTAATTTTTCCCGAGCTCATTAAATATATTTTACTATATTTCATGAGCTTGGGAAAAATACCACAATCAGTACACTAAACATATAAGGCTAAGATTGGAGCTATTGTTTCAAATACAGACCAGGAAACGTCAATGGAATTATCCCATAAATAAGCAGTTTTCTTTTTCTTTAGCTGATTGAAGATTTTATTATATCTTTAAAATCAATGCATTGACTACAATTATTTAATTTTGCCTTTAAAATTGAATCAGCAACAGTGAAAGAGAAATTCAAAGACTGTGTAATTTAGACCGCAATTTCAGTAAATAAATTTTCAAATACTGTATTGCAACTTCAAGATCTGATATTACTCTTGACTGCATCTGCAGTCGTTAATACCGACCAATCCGCACTGGTCCCGCGAGATTGTTTATGACATAGTCCCCTATTCAATTCAATCCATAGGGAAGGCCTGAGCCACAGCAGTGGCGACATTAATGGACTGTTGATGAGGACTGTACGTGCGTTGTATACCTTCATTAGCATGGCGGCGGTCTGGTGTGGCGGGGGCGTGGGCGGTGGCGGGGGCGTGGGCGGCGGCGAGGGCGTGGGCGGGGGCGTGGGCTCCCCCTCGGCGCGCGCGAGCCTCCGTCCCGTTTCCGGACACAGAGACAGCGGCCGGTCCGGGCTCGGTGGCGGGATCGGACCCAGATCCGTGGGGAACGGGTCTTCTATGCCGTCCGACGTGTCTGACGACGCGTCCGACTGAACACACATATGCTTACGTTATACAGTCAGTACACCGACACATTGCGAAACTATGCATATAATGATAGGGTTGTCACCTTTATGAGAAACAAAATTTGTGATTCATCAGAAACCGGGTTGGGTGGCAACCCTGAATGTAAAACATGTGCGTCTGTGTAACGACCTTTTACGCAGTCGATTGCGAAACCGTACTGACAAGTACACAGCTTTTCACCGACTTAATAATAGAGCGAGAAAAAGCACATTGCCATTCAACTGACAAGATTTCGCAAATGTTTCACATTCTACAAACGGCGTTAAATCGACAATGTATGCGAATACATGTATTGCAAGAAAATTAATCCAAAACAAACTTGAAAATAAACGACCATGCATCCGACAGAACACACATACACGCATTACACCTACTATATGGTGTAATAAAATTTGATTGAAATAACGAGGATTATGAACATCTATAGCAAACATAAAATATAGAATGCACTGACAATGTGTATTTGGTAGACAATTAAAATTTTTATTCAGTCAGTAAAGTGTCATAAAATTACATCTAAATTTTACATTTTCAAATTTGTAGTTGTGACGTCACTTAGTTTTGTAAACAAATTCGTTGCTATTGGTTTTTTTAGATCTCTATGCACATTTTATCATATTTAAATACCAATGTTTTAAGATTCCGTAATACAGCAGAACAAAAATTGAGATTTGCAGTAATAAGCTTTCTGACGATAAGAGTTTACTAATTGTAAATTTGTGCAAACTCCCTTTACAAAATCATGTTCCATGGTATTATTTTAATAAAAAATACTTTTTCTCGTGTCATCATTAAAATAATAATAAAAAAAAAAAATTAATATCTCGCTTGAAACTTATTTTTCTTGTTTGTTTACAAACCAAATGACGTCATATCAAGGCGGCTACTGATTCATTTAATAAAAACACAGACTAAAGATTTGAAAACTTTGATTTGAATTTTAAAAATTTCTTTATTTTATGAAGTGAAACTAAAATTTTCAGACTGCTTGTTGCCTAAGCTCATTTGTATATTTTTAGACTTTTTTTCTCGTAATTACTAAAATACCCTAATCGTGTTTCGAATCAGCAAACATAGCATAGCAACTAGAAAAAAGAGATCTAAACGAAGGCGTAGCACTTCATTTACCAAAGTATACTCAAATATTTACACATAATATATATTTTTACTTACTACTTTACATGACGTAATTAATTTTAATTCGAATAAAATAAGGCTAAAATATTAAAAATAGAACTGACCTGATCAAAATCAAACATCTCCCTGACGGGCATCTTTTCCCGGATGCGTACTATGTTCCCGCCGGCAGTGGCGATGGAAGCGTATGAACCGCGCCCGCGACCACGTGTAATCCCTCCTCTCCTCAATAGACTGTCGCCCTACATCAGTACACAAATAATGTCAATTAGATAATTAATTACTTTTTTTAATATCTGATAAACATTAAAAAAATATGTAAGAATAATTATAGAGTTAAACCGAAACTAAAATCATGGTAGATTTAAACAAATAGATTCATCACAAGCTACAGTACTATCATTTTGTTCTACATATTAGCTAGTGTACCAAACATCAAATAAAAATCAAAAAATATCTGCATGAAGGGGTCCGCTATAACAAACACAAACTAATGATAGAGGACCAGACAGCAAATATTCATGGGAAATTTTCAAAATGTAAAATAATTTTAAACACTTTTTTAAAAGTTGTTCGATCCCCTATTGTCGGAATTATCTACAATAAGCAGAATGAATCTTAAAAGGCATCAATAAAGAACAAATTCATGTACACACGACTGCATGTCAAATTACAGTTGATTTTAAATCCTACCGACAAAACATTACGGTTATAATGAAGTGTAGGAATTTAACAGACTTTTAATGTCTAATGTTGGAATACATAGTTGGAATTAATCTATTCCTACCTATTCATTTATTACCTGTGAAAGTTTTTTGTTGAGTATAGCCACCGGCGATTTATCCATAGGGGACCCGCCAGAGGGCCGCTGAATCGTGCGCTGTATGATCTTTTGTCCTGAAGGCGTGATTATCGTCTTTTCTGTCACTTGTTGTCTTGGTGGGAAAGATTTCTTCAGCTACAGTGAAGAAGCACATTATTATTTTTAAGATTACTACAAGATAATAACAGAAGACAATAATATAGTTATAATATTTTTTAAACCAGATAAACTATTGTAAAAATAATAATCACAAAGTACTTTTGATTACCATTTTTTCAGGCCATTGCATTTGAAAAAAGCAAATGCAATGGTCCTGAAAAAAATAACTTGACTTTTATACTAGTTTATAGTTTAAAGAAATAAATTTATAACTGTATACCTGTGGTGTCATTTGCGTGCGTACAGGTGATGATGTTACTTTTTTTATTTCTTCAGTCTTTTTCTGCAAAGAATAAGGTGTCATTTGTGTAAAAATAACAAATATACGAGTTTACTGAAATACCGTTATATAAGTTTTATCTATAAATCTATTCATTGCCATACCTGCTTAGCAGCTAATATTTGTTTCCTTATCACATCTTGATCTATGTTGAGCCCTGGCCCTATTTTTCCTGGTGAATCAATTTTCATTATACCAGAACTCTTTGACATTATGTACACACCTGTGAACGAAATAACATTCACTATAATTGTTGTATAATGTGTTCAAATTATTTAAAAAAAAATGGATTACAAAAGGATTAAGGTAATTTAGCAAAATGAAAAGATTTTTATATATCAAACTGTATAAAAAAGTAATAAAAACTGCTAAGAAGCTATCTATTAAGAATGTATTTAAGAAAGCTGTTATCAAACCAATTTTCAAAAGTGGAGATCGAACTAGTGTCAACAACTATCGCCCTATTTCAATTCTTTCAGCACTTTCAAAGATACTGGAGAGGATTATTAATAACAGATTAATCAAGTACCTGAAACAAATAACATTCTTTCCCAACAACAATATGGTTTTCGTGCGAACAGATCAACAGAGGGAGCAGTTCATGAATTGTGTAATTTTATAGTGAATTCCTTGGATAATTCTAAGAAGTGTCTTTCTATCTTCCTGGACTTGGCAAAAGCTTTTGACACGGTTTCAATTCCACTACTTCTTGATAAATTAAACCAAGCAGGAGTGCGAGGCCTCCAACATAAACTAATCTCTAGTTATCTAACCGGTAGATCACAATGTGTTAAAATATCAGATCATGTTAGTGAGGATGTTCCTGTGATTTATGGGGTTCCTCAGGGTAGTGTACTGGGTCCAACGCTATTTTTAGTATTCATAAACGACCTATGTAATATTAAACTAGAAAATGGCGTAATTATTTCTTTTGCAGATGACACAGCTTGTGTTTTTAAGGGTGAGTCTTGGGGACAGATTTATCAAACAGCACAACGTGGTTTAGATAAAATTGTAGTATGGCTGAAACAAAACCTGCTAACAATAAATGTAGATAAAAGCAAATTTATAACTTTTGGAATACGTAATCATGCTTCCCGTATAGTTGATTCAAATCTTAAACTAGTTATTCATAATCATATCCATAGTGTAGAAACCCTCTGTGCTTGTCCAAAACTTGAAAATGTTTCTCATATTAAATATCTTGGCGTTGTAATAGACAAAAACTTAAATTTCATTTATCATATAAATCAAATTGTAGCTAGGGCTCGAAAACTTATCTACGTCTTCAGAATCCTGAGACATATTGTAAACTATGAAGTGATCAAATCTGTTTACTATGCAATATGCCAGAGTGTTTTTGGATACTGCATCATTGTTTGGGGGGGCGCCTGTAAAACCCACCTTATGAAACTTGAAGTTGCTCAGCGCACAATCCTGAAAGTAGCTACATTTAAACCCTACTATTTTCCAACGCAAGAACTTTTTGGGATATGTAGATTGTTAACAATACGCCAGTTGTTTATTTGTAATGTCATATTAAAACAGCATTCATTCTCAACTTATGATAGCACATTATTAACCTCTAAAAGAAGGCATGATATTGTGTTTAATACGCCGAAATTCAATACCAAATTTGGTCAAAAATTTGTGGAATATCTTGGACCTATACTTTATAATAAATGCAATAGACTATTATCCATATACCCTTTAAATAGGTATCAATGTAAAAAAGCTGTTATACTATGGCTATTGAGTTTAAGCTATAATGAAACAGAAAATTTTCTTATTAACCGAACTTAATCGTATAAATAAATTTTATCTTTTCATACATTTACATCCACATACCCCACACACATATACTCACCCTCACACACCCAGACACACACACACACACACACACACACACATAAGCCTGTAATATTATCTATTTCATATTTACTTTTATTATCATTTCTCTTTTATAAACAATATTAAGAAGATTAACTCCTGTACTTTTGTTATATTACTAGACATATGTTCGGTTGTGGGGGCCTGGTGTTCTGTAGAACAGGATTATCCTAGTATCGGTCACCAGTCTCCGTCCTTGAATTGAATAACAATAAAATAACAATTGTAACTGTGTAATATGTGGAGAAATAAATAAATTATTATTATTATTATTAAGAATGGAATAAATAGGTCAAAGAACAAAATTAAGGGAATATGGACTATTATCAACAGGTACAGAAATAAAGCAAAATTAGGCTTCCCTAGTTGTAAAAATTGGCTTTTAAAATGTTGATGTAAATGACCCTCAATGTATAGTGAATATTTTTAGTGACATATATGATAGAAGCAATAATAATACAACCTTTGATATAAGTAATGATACCTATCGGACAACTCTGCATTATCTGATTCAGAGTTCTCCAAAGATTTCACAAGATATGAAAATGAAGAAGTAAAAGATACTATAAGTCACATGCAATCAAAGGCTTGTTATGGCTATAATGAAGTACCAATCATTATTATAAAAGAAAATATAGATTATCTGACTCAGCCTTTGGCCACCTTCTTAATAATAATATGTATTATCTATCCTATTAATATTATAAAGGCGAAAGTTTGTAAGTATGGATGTATGGATGTTTGTTACTCTTTCACGAAAAAACTACTGGACGGATTTGGATAAAACTTTACAGCAATATAGGTTATACATCAGAATAACACATAGGGTACTTTTTACTGGGAAAACTTCTCACTCCCACGGGATACCGACTTCCACGCGGACGAAGTCGCGGGCGTCCACTAGTATATAATAAGTTTTATAATATTTGTTATGAGACTATTCTATTAAGATTTTTTTTATTTAAAAAAATTACACAAGTTAATCATTATTGCATGTACATGCATAAAAATACACTTGTGTCAACAGTATCTTCTATACATACACAGATTAAAACATTGCCATTCCTGTTATATGTACGCAAAGATCTTTTAAACTACACAACGGATTTGAATGCGGTTTTCATCAATATACAGTGACTTAAGAGGAAGGTTTATATGCAGGCATATTGTATAGGATCACGTGGGCGAAGCCGCTGGTGGAAAAATAATTTAGTATAAAATATCCATGCTTCTACATCTACATACATACAAATTGGTCAGAACTTCAGAATATTTTGAGTAAAAATAACATTAAAAAATCTATGTTAAAAACAACATTAAAAAAATATTGTAAATACAAAATCAATATTCAGGATCCACCCAAACATTAAGATGTATATGTACTTAGAATAATTTTCAGTATGGCATTGTGAATGCAAAATTAATTAAAATATATTAACATTATAAATATTCTATTTACCAGTTGATAGATTCGGCATATGTTTAGGGTCAACTTTAATGACTCCTTTGATATTAGGCATCCCTTTCCCTCCGAGACCCAATGATTTTACTAGATCGGGATCTACAGCTGTTGTCTTTGGTGAAGGCTGCCCATTCATTTTCCTCTCGGCTATAAACAACGTCATCATAAATTTACTACATAAATTCAACAATTTATTTCCTTTTTTTTCGTCTCAATCTATATCATCAAGTTTTTGTATCTCATATGTAGTCAATAAGTCTTATAGTAAAATATTTGAAATATATATATATATATATATATATAATGAAGCATGAAAAATTTATCAAATGTATTTGTTTTTATTCAAGTTTTAACTGTAACATCATTAAAAGCTACCTTTAATCGAATCTGGGTCCGAATAGTCTTCATCTTCAGAAGACATTTCTTTTTTCATTTTCTTAACAGCAGGTTCATCCTCAGCGCCGCACCAAGCTTTTACTTGATCTAAAGCTCGAACTTTGCTTGTACGTTGCAAACGACTGTAATAAATAATTGAGAATTATTTATTACAGTCGTTTGCAACGTACATAATATCATTAAGCTGAATATTCTATATTCTTCACTAACATACTTATGAAAACAAGAAAATGCCGTGCTCCAGTGGGCTAATTATCTTTTTTCAAAAGGCATAGCGATCTATGGAATTATGTAACTTTTAAAGTTGCAGTCGCTTTTGTAACAAATAACGATTTGAAATATCAAGAAATATAATAAAAAGTTAGCTAAGAGTTTTTAAAGAAAGTTACGTCTTAGACAATTCCAATTAAGATTTAATCAACAATATCATTCATTCAACATCTATCAATGCTCGCTATAGATTTTAAAATTAGGCAATTAGCCCCCTGAATATTATTTTAGGATTCTCACCCTGTTGGAGTTAGTGCTGGACTTTCAGTTTTCTTTACCGCTTGCTTAACGACATGTGGTAACGGAGTGTTGATTTGTTTGACCTGAACATGACAAATTCAATTCAAATTATTTAAGACATAATTTAATATCACTTTATGTCTTCTACAATTACTTATGTTTTAAAATCAATTGTAGAGGCAGTAGTTGACAACAGGGTATTAAAGTCGACACTCTTAATCAAATAAAAAAGGTTTTAATATGGATTAGGACAGTATGCCAAGTATCAAAAACTGAAAATATTCACACAAATTATTGACTTGTCAAAAGCGAACATCACTCACAAAACTCATAGCACCATGAACTATGTAGAATATATATTTAAAGTAATTATGAGCATAATTTGTAATATATAATAATAATTTGTTATATAGTTACGTTAATATACATAATAGAGTAACCAAACTTTTACATACTTGTACTGGGTGTTGTTGTAGTTGCTGAGCTCGTAACGCCTTTAGTTCCTTTTGACGAGCCAGCTGCTTCTCAAAGGCTTCCAGTAGATGTTTGCAAGTCTCCATATTTTCGACTGGTTCCCAAGTGTTTTGTTCACTGAACAGACATTGGACAAACTTTAAGAAATATGAACGATTTCATATTAACATACCTAACATATTCTTAATTTGCTACAATAACTATACCTGCTATGATTTAAAATAAATTGTAATAAATAAAACATTTTTTGGAAATTTATCTTGTTATTTCAAGTTACAATAACAATAACTATACCTGTTATGATTTAAAATAAATTGTAATAAATAAAACATTTTTGGAAATTTATCTTGTTATTTTAAGTTATTGTTATATTTAATTACAAGAATCAAAACGCAGACGATCATGACAGAGCATCGTGTGATGTTACACATTCCAATAAACTAAACATCGTATTTGTTGCAAGTGCAACCAGTACTTGTACGTTTATTGACGGCATGGTTGGAAATGTCACTAGACTGATGACAAACCGAACATAGTGTTAACAACTTTTTTTTTAACACAATGCAACCTCAAGCCTTTAACCAGGCTGGCTTAAGCAAGGCCAGCCTATCTGATAAAAACCACTGTGAGTACCCTCCGGGGGCTGGGTACTTACAGGGGGAGACACAGGGGGCGAGGACCGCCAGGTCCAATAGAGTTAGTTTTACCACCTAGACATAGATGCTAGAGTTATCATAGAAGAGCCAATATCACAGAAATTAAATTAAATATGAATTACCTGAAATGAGCCAATATGAGACACCTTGAAACTGTCATGCAAACAAGGAAGTCTTTGACAGACAATGTTTAAGTATGAAATCCTAGAAAGACAATAGTATATTATAGATTAAATAGTAGTGAGACATATATACTGACTGCGGGTATCCTTCCCATTTGAGTAGATACTCGTACTGCTTGCGTCGTGGATTGAACCGTTTAGCGAGTATCTTCTCGACAACATACTCGCCCGCCTCTGCTGGGTCGGCGCCTTCTCGTTCTGTGCGCCGTGCGATACGATCCTCCGGTGGCACACGCTCTTGTGCATTACGGACCGATTCCTTGTCCATAAGATCCTGTTATTTTACACATTATTAAACAAATTTGAAAATTGTAAAGTTGATAAATATACAGTTTGGACTTTCATATTACATAATAGAGATTAGAAATCTTATGAAAAAGAAGAGCCAAAAAAAGATACAATTTTAAAATTCCAGTTTTGATTGAGTTGCTTAAAGATGTTTAAATATTATTTAAACTTCTATTTGAGATATCTCTCCTAGTCATAGTCAGTATATCTCAATCATATTATAGTATGGATACTGAACTATGGATCAATTAATATAAAACATAAAACATGAGATTTAAATGGTTTCTTCAATAAGATATATTTTTACTGAACTTAAGAACCACATGTGGCTCACAGGTCACCAACCCATGCTATAGGATTTATAGCTCAGAAAAAATGTTGTAGAAAATGCTTATGGATGGTAGATAAAATCAGTTTTCATAATAGGTCATAAGAGTAATAATCATGAAAAGGTTAGGAGTCCATCGTTAACAATAAAATAATGATAGACAATTTTTTTTTCAACTATTATAGTGAATAAATACCTTTTTAATACTTGGCAAAGGTGTTTTGTTTACAACTGGTTTTGGTGCGGGAATCTTAACCATTCCATCGCTTTCCTCACCAGATGGTTGAGTGTCTTCTTCAAACTGCAAAAAAGGTTCAGAGATTAATATGCAATGAATAAATTAATACAAAATTACATTTTTCACTTCTGTTAAAATCATTGTTTCTTTTATTTAACTTTTGAGCTGTCATACTCAATATTTCTCAAAATATATTTCTCTAGGACAGCTAAAAGTTGGAGCTCGAGATTTAAAAGTTATGTTAGATGGGTCTGAACAAAATCGACTTGTATATCCAAGGTTGATTTAATGTATTTTCAGATATCAAAGTAAATTACTAGCTAAATCATACTAACACTTTTAATGTTTTGTTTCCTCGGTCTTCCACGTTTCTTTGTGTCAGTCTGATTTGTAGGAGTCTGTACTGGTACTAGTTGATCTTCAGTTTTCAATTCCATCTGTTAAATATAATGAAGTCATTGTATTACCAAGTTTAGCTGATTACAAATATAAAGTTGAAATTATACTTACAACTTTAGCATGCGCAAACTTTGATAATGCTTGCACATTGGATCCAGCAGTGATCCATGCAGTACGTTGTGCTTCTGGCATCCGACACCACTGCTGATAAAGCTTCCAACTATTGTCTGTACTAATGACAGATCCATCTCGTGCAGATGAACACTTCCACAACAGAAATGCCCACACTTGTGCCTTGCTTTCATTCTATTATTAAAAAAGGGTACATTCTATTATAAAAAATGGATGTAACAGTAGCAAAGGATATGCTGGCTAGCAATTAATGAAACAAGCAGTTCTGAATTAAGTGGTGAGTAACTATCAAGGTTTTGCCTTGGTTTGAAAAATCTGAGACTGGATACAAGTTGAGTAATATATGAAACTTCAAAATACTGTTATTTGTTCAGTTTATCCAAAACAAGAAATTTAACATTAAATAGCAACTAGTGTGATTGAGGATGAGAAGTAACAAATGTATGTATATGTTAAATAACAAACTCCATACTTACACTATCTCTAACAGGAGATTTACCAGTGCAATTTTTGTCACTCTTGTGTTCTTTGAATTCTTCGATAAAATGAAAGGCAGAATGACACTCTCCACATACTAGAACATCAAGTGTGGCCATCTGTTCATGAGATTCTAAAAACAATGCATTGCAAAATTTAGATTATGTACCTTTATTTAAAAAAATATTTATTCTAAAGTAAAACAGGCATTTACATTTTATTATTACCTTTTAAAGCAGTAGGGTTTTTAGTAAGTTCTTCTGGATTACCCACTGGCACGTCATCAGTTGATGGGGTTCCATCTTCCTCCATAGAAGTCATATTAGGCTGCAAATGTTGAGAAAACATTTAGATAAGACTTTAAGAAATAACCTTCAAGAACGCCGGTGTCTTCCCGCCAATTCATTAACTTATTCTACGGACGACGGTTTATGATGTATTGTATTCTATCCGCGTGGTTTATTAATGCTTGCAATACTTTTGATATCTAAAATATTATCGTTACCATACAATACCTTAATATAAAACAGTAAATTTCACAAAAACCTCGTATTATCGAAAGCGACGCAGCAGCTGCTTACTATTTAACATTCGATTGAAAGTAACCTATTGCATGTGTTCTGTTTTAGTTATTATAAAGTTATTAATATATAGTCAAATTAAAGTTATTATTTCTGAAAACGAGACAATGTCACTCACCAAAACAATATTTTTTTTCTAAAAGTGATGAAACTTTACAGAATGTAGTTCAAAACGGAACAATCACCTCAACCCAAGCACGACAAATCGAATATTTTATGACAAAAAAATACTTCGCCGACATCTCAATATCGCCCCCTAGCGTTAGTCGACATACTTTGTTTTATAATAGAAATCAGTACTGGATGAACCAATAAGAAAAAGCGTTGTTACATATTTGACCAATCACAATCAAGCCATCTAAGTGACATAACGTAACAAACTCTATGTTTATGTAATTGAGAATTCCTTTACCGACATTCTATTACGCCGACATCTTACATCGTCATGGTAATTTACTAGATAAATAATACTATAAATATAGTTTTTGGTTAAGAGCCATATTACATCGCAACTGTGATTTCTGCGTGATTTTTCTCGGAAACAAAAACAAATTAACAATTTTGACTTGTTGAATAGTGAAGAATAACTCTTGGTATAGAAATTAGTGGCTCAACTTTTTGGAAATTTTGCTCATCTTTTTAATTAAATCCAAAATACCAGAGAAAGTTTTTCATAAAATGCGCAAAGACACTTTTTTGAAGTCCTGGATAGAGCTACTGTTCTTAACAAACGAAATAAAAGAAATAGAATGATATCTCTTATATAGTCGTAAAGTAAACAGTAGCTCGAAATTTTGAAATAGCACTGATTAAATATAGAAAAACAATTATATTACAAACCAAAAAACATCAAAAATTACTTGAAGTTAACTTTGAATTTCTCTTAGCCACAACAATATTATTAAACAAAATTTATGCCAGATTAATGACTATTTCATAAGGAACAAAGTTATTATAATTTTAAAGCATAAATTTATTATATTATTTCAATAAATACGATAAATGTAAACGCAAAATCACTGCAAAATAAGATGCAGCGGCCGTCTGAGCTCAGTACCGCGCGAGCGCTCCTCAACGTTAGACCTGTGTCGCATTTCTTCGCGCCATTTTTCGATCTAGATACGTTCGAGCGAGCGTAAATAGAGTAGTATAGTGGGACTTCCAACTTTGGTCATGAAGTTCGATTTATATGGAATTTATATAGCTTATTGAATTATTTCTAATACACATTTGTTATTTTCAGCATAGGTCGAAAGACCCCTAGGTATATTTGTATAAGAAAGTTAAAATATATATTTATATTATGATATGCAAATAAAGCAAGGTACTTCTTCTCTCAATACACTTATACTAGTACATAAAATTGGAGTGCATATTTGTAATATTAAAATAACCGCTTTTCACTAAATACATTTGTGTGTATACATGGTACATATACAAAAATAATATATTTTATCTGTCTGTCTGTTAGTTCTGGCTAATCTCTGAAACGGCTTGGCCGATTTTGAAGAGACTTTCACTAGAAGTTGACTTACGTAATGAGGATTCACTTAGACTTATGGCTCGATGCAATTCGACCGATATCAAATTTATCGGAGATCCGCATATGAAACAACTTTTTCTAAATTCAATATATTTTTAATCCCGGACGCAAAAACGACGAGGTGTTATAAGTTTGACATGTCTCTGTGTGTGTGTGTGTGGTGTGTTTGTCTTTTTGTGGCATCATAGTTCCCGAACGGATGAACCCATTTTGATTTTGTTTAAAAGGTGTATTAGTCGGGAGTGTTCTTCACTTTGATGAAAATCGATACAAGATGGCCGCCGCCACAAAATGTCGGATCGCATATTTTATCACCATTCCATCAATATGGGTATCAAATAAGAGGGCTTGAGTAGTAGAATACTGAACACTATGACAAATTTCAAATCCAAGATGGCCGCCACCAAAAATGTTGTATTACCTACATATTTTTCACGACTCCTTCAATACGGACATTAAATAAAAGGGCTTGAGTAGTAGAATACTGTTTACTATGACAAAATTTTATATACAAGATGGCCGCCGCCACAAAATGTTGGATTATGAACAAATGTAACAGACATTAGTACAAGGGTACTGCTTATTTCAAATTGAAATTTCTACCAGCAGGTCCAAAACAGGAAAAAGAAATACAATAAGGTAGTCAGTGTGTACCTCCTAAATAAATTAATATGGAATAAAAAAAAACAAATTCAAATACCGGGAAAGAGAGAAAATAAAAATACATAACGGTTCAAACATTATATAAATAATAATATATATATCTATAATATAAAAAGATTAATAATACTTACACTATCCAATATTAACAACAGGAAAGATAATGATCCTTTACTCTTTTTTTGAACACAGAAATAGTGCGACTGTCACGTATATCGGCAGGCAAAGAGTTCCAGAGTCTAGCAGCATGAACAGTGAAGGAATATGAAACAAAATCCGTTTTGTGTGAAGGAGTTTGAAGACTTAAGGTGGGATCTGCAAAGAGCATCAGGAGAACGGAGAAAGGAGAAACGCTCACGCAGATAGGAAGGATAGACGGGATTATACAGGATGTTGAACAGAAGACAGACGATCCTGACATATCTACGCTGACGAATGGGAAGCCACATGAGCTGCTTACGTAAATGTGACACATGATCATATTTACGAAGACCATAAATAAATCTAATAGCTAGATTTTGAAGTCGTTCAAGTTTGTTTAATAACTCCTCAGTGGCATCCAAGTAACATGCATCTGCATAGTCAAGAAGAGGTATAATTAAGGATTGTGCTAGTAATACTTTAGTTTTAAAAGGTAAAAAGTTTTGAAGGCATTTAAGTGTGTGAAATGAGAAGAAGGTCCTACGACTAACCTCAGATACATGGGCAGTCCATGATAGATTTGAATCCATTGTAATTCCAAGATTTTTTACAGTGTCTGTTAACTCGATCTGAGTCCCATCCAAAAGCAGGGGTGGTAAAGATAATGCAGAAATAGAATTAATATTAAACCTGCTACCTATCACAATGGCCTGAGATTTACTCGGGTTAAGCATGAGGCCAAACGATTTTGCCCAAGTACTAATGCGATCCTAATCGTTATTAATAGCTACCAGTGCCGAGTTACAGTCTTCTATTTTAAAGTGTCGATAAAGCTGCAAGTCGTCTGCATAGAGGTGGAAGTTGGAAGATATAACTTTAGTAACCGAGTTAATGAAAATAGAAAATAAGAGAGGTGAGAGAACAGCACCCTGAGGAACACCCGCACCGAGGTCGCACCAATCAGATGATTTATTACCAAGACGCACACGTTGCGTGTGTCCCCGAAGGTAGGAATCAAACCATGAGAGAACAGAAGGAGAGATATTGCAAGAACGAAGAATAGCGAGAAGAATGTCAAAATCGACAGAATTAAAAGCACTGCTGAAGTCTAGAAGAATTAGAACTGTAAGAGCTTTATTCTCCATAGCCCAACGAATATCATCAGTAATGTTTATTAAAGCTGTTACAGTACTGTGACCAGGGCGGAAACCAGATTGGTACCTATTCAAAAGGGAATTAGAAAAAAGAAAAGTTGATAATTGCTTATGAACAATATGCTCAAGAAGTTTAGAGAGAAGGGGAAGAATAGAAATAGGACGAAAATGAGATGGGACTAAAGGATTAGATACTTTAGGCAGTGGAATAATGTGCGCCATCTTCCAAATTTTGGGAAAAGAACCGGATTCAAGTGAGAAGTTAAGTATGTGAACAAGTATAGGAAGGAGAAAAGATAAAATAGGGGTAAACATTCTTACGCTTAGATTGTCCTCGCCAGCAGCCTCGGAAGAAATGGCTTGAATGGTATTTTTAATGTCAGTTTCGGATATTTTTGAAAAGACAAAAGATGTGCAGTCTGGCCTCGGAACCAGTGAAAGTTCTGCGAGCGTAGAATCCTTTATGTCACCATCGATAGTAGAAGGAGGAAGGGAGAAGTGTCTGTTAAGGACGCTTGAATCTACATTGGTAGACACAGTAGCAGTAGATTTCCCCACTCCTACAGAGCGCAAAAACTGCCAGGCATCAGTAGGATTGCGATCAGTAAGAGAGCTATGGAAGAAGCGTCGTTTAGCATCCCTACACATACGACTGCAGCAATTTCGAAGAACCTTAAAACGAATAAGATTGCGGTTAGTTGGACGTTTCTTATATGCTCTTTTTGCCTTATCTCTTTTTTGACCACCAAAAAAATTGACCACCCATCATCGCTTAACCTCCTCAATCGCAGACCAAACGAGCTATCCGGCACCATCGAGCTTTTCATTTGTTTATATACGGATATTGCCGTATTTTTTTGTAAAATTCAATATATTTTGATGATAAGGTAAGTATGAGCAAATGAATCGTTCCTCGATATTATTGAACAGAAAATCAAAAGCAGATCGAGCGTTCTACCACCTTCATACATTTGAAGTGATACCGCAGACCATGAGATTTGTGACCGATATTGACAGATAGTACAATCTCATGAGCAAAGACTTGAGTTTTTCCATACATTTTATAAGTGCATGCGATTCGTGTGATATCGTTCATTCATATCGAATAACATCGCATCTAGCCATGAGAAAAGAACCTTAGGTTACTTTCCATTCGCATAAAGCCGTGGGCACAACTAGTTTAATATAATTGTAATTTACTACTTTTCCAAACAGGAAACAGTCCATGTTTCCTATGGATGACGAAAATATTTCGAAATCGTCGACGAAAAATATGGCACGAATATTTTTTAATTAATATTTATAATTTTATTGATATATTGTCATCGCTATTTATATTTATAGCCTATGATTTGGCTAAACTTGTTTCTTTTAATTTTTGTCCGACCTTAGCAGTCGTGTTTTTAATTTTAAATAATTTTTATATTTTATTCATTTTAGTGAGCAGTTAATTTTGTATACAGATTATATATTTTTAATGGACCTTTAATTTGATACCCATAAAGTTATGATTATAAAAAAACATACTTTTTTAAATGGCGTCACACGTCCCCATACCTATTTAACATTAATAATTAAGCTAGTTTCACTGATACTCTATGTATTTTGTGGTAACTTAGGATGATGTTTCTAATGATACCCTGTACATTCATATCCGTTATATCTTTCAAAAGTTATGGTGCAATAAAAATACTCACATACATA